GTCGTCCCATCATCCGTCCGGTAGCACCGGTAGCACTAGCGGCAGCGAACACTATCTCTACGACGAGAACAGCAGCGACAACGAGAGCGTTTACAGCAGCGATCAGGAGAATCACGCGAGAGAGTGAGTGCTCCCGAATATCCCGGAAGTGCTCCCTTCGCTTCTTCTGGCTGCTCGGCTTTCTTTCCTTTTTCTTCTCTTTTCTTTTCCTCTCTCGATGGAGTCGATCTCTGAAACATTACAGAATCCTTAATTTGATTTAAAATATATTTGAAAATATTTGCTTTAATATTTTAATTTTCTTAAAAGTAATGAGATTTTTAATCAAAACGCCTAAAGCGATATTCTTAGATGCCAAATAATATTGGAATATGTTTTAATATTGAGATATAAATTTTTCGATCGTTTTGTAAATTTGTTTATAGCAACAATCAGTAGAATCGCGCGAGAGAGTTATGATTCGCATTCCCTGGAAATGCTTTTTCCGCGTTCTCAGATTTTCGGATTTTTCTTTTTTCTTCCTTCTTTTCTTTTCTTCGAAAAGGAATCGATTCTTTTTCCTCGAAAATTATTAAAGCTTTAAATTTAAAAACGTAAAATTTCTCCAAACAACAAAATTTACTTTGACGTGTTAACTTTCCAAAGTAATAATTTCTAAAGTTGTTCTAAAATAATTAAAGTGGACCTTTTTAGTGAATAATTCTAGAATCTCAATATTACGTATTAATATTAATATTAATTTGTGAAGAAAATAAAAAGTGCTCGCCTTGCAAGTTCGTACAGCGTTCGGTTCACCGGTCACTTTTGCCCTCAGACGAAGTCGAGGCAACCGACGCGGCGGGGCATCGGGAAAATGTCCGAGACAGGTGCAGGTGCAGCAACGGCAGGCGGCGAACATGAGGGAACGAAGACGTATGCAGAACATAAACGATGCTTTCGAGGGCCTGAGGGCTCACATACCGACCTTGCCGTACGAGAAAAGACTGTCGAAGGTCGACACGCTGAAGTTGGCGATCGGTTACATAAACTTCCTCAATGAACTCGTCAGGACAGACAAGGGTAACGACCCCTTGACGGGCAACAGCGGTCTCTCGAGGTGTTCCAGTCGGGACGAGTCCAAGAAGGTCATAGTCCGTGGTGAGGCCAATTTTAATTATATTTCTAGGAATAATTCTCAAATGATACAATAGGAACTTTATCCACAAGATTATCCTTATTTAAAAATGCTTAATATTCATATCGAAAAATTGCGTAATTTAAAATTTTTTATAATATCGACGAATTTAATAAATAATAGATAAAATAGATAAAAAAGAAATAATAGATAAAAAAGAGATATAAAAAAAAATTAATCCATCCTTTTACAGCGAAAAAATTGAATGGATTTATTTTTTTTATATTTCTTTTTTTATCTATTATTTATTAAATTCCCATCGGTAGACAAAAATTATTTTAAATTAAAACTTCATTATTTGGCAATTCTTCCAAATCTGTAAAGAGACGGTTTTGAAATATATAAACATTTGGATAAATCTAAAAATAATTTTATTGGGATATCAAAATTATTATGTAGGATATCACTTAAGCGTGATAATAATACAATATTGCAAAAATATTTTATATTTCAATAACCAATTTGAACGTTCTGTATAATTACTTTAGTGGCTTAATAAAATAATTTTCAGATCAGTATCTGACCAAATTTTTAAATATTTCGGCGGAACTATTATTTTCCACGATTTTTATAATAAAATTGCCGAAAGAAAAAAAATCGTGTCGTAATCAATTGAAATATGCCAACGTCGAGAATTACCCATATTTTGGGCAGCCGTGTTAGAAGATCACAGTGTGTAGCGTGCATGTACGATTTAAATTTTACAACGTCACGTGCGACACGTGTACAAAAAATCGGGCCTCGAAATTTCGTCGATGATTTGATTTTCACTACGCTTCCGCGAGATTTCGTTTAATAATACAGAACACAGTAGCGACCATACCAGCTATTTCGATATTATGTGCATAACGTATTAGCGTCGGCCGAATCGCTTCCGCTCCGTGTAGAATCATAGGTCGATTTATCATAATTACCCATCTACCCTTTATTCCGGGACAGGTGTCCCCGTTGGATACAGGGGTGCTTCGCGGTGAATTTACTGTCCCGGGATAATTGAGAGATTATCAAAAATTTCGGGAATTGCGTAATCGTCCGTTATTTACGCTCTGCTTTCGAACTGGTGTCACAGTTTTCGAGACTTTTAAATTAGTAAAGAAAAAAAAAAAAAAGAAAATTCAATCGAGGTCTTTTGTGTGTATGGGGGCAATCCTCCTAGATTTTTTTTTTTTTTACGGATCGGAACGAAAATCCCGATCTACCTTTCGCGATTTCGCGATTTCCGCTTTTGACTAATTTCCATCAAATTGGGGTTTTCAGGCAGCGGTGGTAATCCGTTCATCTCGCACTCGCTTTCGTGGTCGAGAAAGTCGGATATTTCGCCAAATGGCACGATGTACGCGAAGGTCTGGACGCCGGAAGATCCGCGAACGTCGAAAAACGGGACGACGTTCGAGTAGACGGCGAATTTTGAGTTTCACTCACGAGGAAACAAAGGACTTGGACACGGTCGGGACGTTTCTCATCTAGCGTGTTATTTAGTGTCTAAGGAAAAACATTTCTAGTCACTGATCCTCGTCATGTGATTTGCATCTATCGAGGTGTTCCCCGATTTTTTATTGGAAACGAAAATATTTATACATCGTTTGTCGGGAAGACAACGTTAGTATTAAAGCAAATTGAATTAGTCATTGCAAAATACGCGTAAACAAAATTTCAATTTTTTAAAGAAAATTTCTTACTTTATATTTTATACGTAATCAATTTTTTTATCTTGATGCAAATATGATTTTTTTCTAGAAAAGTATTCTAAACGCAAGCTGAGTATTTTTGGTCATGAATTTTGAGATGGAATATCTTTTTTTTTATAAGGAAATAATTCTTTCAGATTTTTCTGAGGGGAGGCTCGATCAACGTTTATTTTGCAATGGCCGATTCGGTTTTCATCGTTTTGCATAATGCAAATCTGTGCGTATCTGTATGTATCTACGAAGCATTTTTACGAACGTTCTGTGAAACGTGCTTTGTAAATAGAAATTCTCGAAATAGGCAATTACAATAGGATAAGCACTACCATTTATACGTAATTAAAACGACATAACAGAGATGATGCGCGATGAGCGTAATTATCGGCACTGTGAATAACAAAGCTAAATAAACGTAGTTCTGAGAAATTCGTTGTGTAAATTATTCACCTCGCAGTCCTCCAAAAAATACGAATAACGGACGAAACTCAAAGATAGAAAATCGAGAATCGTGTTGACAGATAAAGCTTCTGATTGCAAATTTAATTTAATTCCACTTTATTTTTATAATTAAAAATCAACATCAATGAACATAATCGATAAAGAAAAGCTTGCTCGAAAAAAATTGAAATAAAGCATAAAAACTTAGTCAGTTTATGCAGTTGGATCATTGAAGAACTCAATGAAGTTCCATCATCATTCGCGATGGAATTATTAGCTTGCAGCTTTTAAGTTCCAAGCTAATAATCAAATCTCGTCCGTGATTCGAAGATGCTTTCGACAGCGACATGCCGAAAGAGAGAAATGGCAAGATGGCCGAAACCGCCGAAGGGTTGATAGCACCCTAAAAAGCTTCTTGTGTTCTCGCAGGGATGGGTTTGGGCAAAAGAAGAAGAGAACGAGAGTCGGGAGTCGGTTCAGAAATAGAGATATAAAAAGAGAGAGAGAGAGAGAGAGAGAGAGAGAGAGAGAGAGAGAGAGAGAGAGAGAGAGAGAGAGAGAGAAGGAGAGAGAGAGAGAGAGAGAGAGAGAGAGAGAGAGAGAGAGAGAGAGAGAAAGGGAAAGAAAGGGAATGAGAGATGGCAAGGAGAGGAAGAGAGCAGGAAACGCGGGAGACATGGTGGGCGGTACATCGATATTGCGGCGTCGCGGCGCCCTGCGACTCAGCGGGGATAATGGCGTCGACGGCTGCGAGCCTTCTCACGATCCTCCGGTCCCTTCCTCCTTTTGCGACTCGCTACGGCGAGTCCCCGTGCCCGCTCTTTCTCTTCCTCCGCCGCTCCGGTTGCCGTTGCGGAGGCTATTATCGCACGTCATTATCGTCATTATCAACTTCGCGAGGCTGCGAGGCAACGCGGAAGATAAGAAACTTTCAATCCTACATTTGTGATATTATGCGCTTGCACGCATACGATGCGAACATCGCGATCGCAATGCGGAAAGCTCGACTGACCGAAAGGCGTATTTTGTTATAGCCATAAGTTTGTTGTCTTTGAAGAGATAAGGAAAATAATAAAAGAAAGATGGCGATAATTTCTTGAGAATTTTGAGATATCTTTGTTATGCGAATTTGTTATAATAAATTTTTCTTCTAGCCTCTCGAAACCATTTTGCGTTGGTCTTTTTTTCTTTAATTATAATTATATCTTTGTTACGTTTTATAAGATTCTTTAAATTTTTGATATTTGCTATATAAATATGTTTTAACTAGAAATATCGGGAAATTATTTCTGAACAATCTCAATTTTTTTAATTATCATCTTTTTCTTGTATATTTAATTATCATCTTTTTCTTGTAAAGACACAATTTTGAAATTTTCTAACTTTTCATCAATTATTTTCTCTCTATTTTGATGGAATATTGAATATTGAAGCCAAAAAGTTCTAAAATCCCACCTCTGAGAGAAAGAAAGAGAGAGAGAGAGAGAGAGAGAGAGAGAGAGAGAGAGAGAGAGAGAGAGAGAGAGACGAGAGACGACGACGACGACGA